TGTGTGTGTAAGTGCGTGACTGCCTGTCCATCTGCTTGTTTGTAGTTGCGTGAAAGTCGTTTGGTTATTGCTTGGATTGTTTCTTTCAGAAGATTTGGTGGTTCGTTAATGCCTTTTAAAAATACATGTTAACGACTAAACGAGGCGTTGGCGGGATAGGAGTGAAGCTGTTGGCATATGCTGATGCATGTCAGAAATGTTTTTCAGTGAAGCATCTGTTTACTCTGATGAATTTCTACAGTGTACTTTTTAGTTTTAATCCAATTTCTCAACAGTGGCCGGGGTTTTTTTTTCTGTCGATGTGTCACTATTTTTTAAAACAAAGCTGAATCGTTTCTATCATGCTGTGTCGATAGTGCATAAAACGTAAACTCAAAGAATGAAATAATTTCATAAAAATTATTGCAACCCTGTTAGTGCTGACCTGCTATCATCTGAAAACAGTCTTTGACCTTTGCCCTCTCTCGTTTGACCGTTGCCCTCTCTCGTCTGACCTTTGCCCTCTCTCGTTTGACCGTTGTCCTCTCTCGTCTGACCTTTGCTCTCTCTCGTTTGCCCGTTGCCCTCATTCGTCTGACCTTTGCCTTCTCTCGTTTAACCTTTGCCCTCTCACGTTTGACCTCTGCAGTGACCAAAGGGTTGACCCCCCGCTCTCCTCCACCCACCAAGACGCGGTGGTCAACTCCACCGGACCTTCCACACCCGTCCACTCCCCGGAAGCTCATCTAGCCCAAGCACACAACAACCCACATCTACACCACCACCCCCACCACCAGCAACAGCAACAACAACAGCATCCGCATCTTCATCATCACGACGAAGACAGCAACAGCAACAGCAACCACAACACCAACGGTGAGGCGGTTCTCCATGTGGAAGACGAAAATGGCGTGGTGGCGTCCGAGGCGCCCGGAGACGTCCTGGTCATCCCCGATTACGTCAACATGTTCCTGCACGAGGGCATCCTGGACAAGTACCTGATCGACGGACAGACAGACGGAGGACACGCTGATAGCCACACACACCTCGCACCCGAGGAGCCACAATCGGCGCCGATAATCCCAGACAGCGCCCCCTGCCGGAAGGTGAACAAACCCAGCAAGTCCAAGGCCAAAGGGGTAAGTCGGAGCTTGTTATGTCGTAGGTCCTAGGGTGAGAAAACCTTGCGTTGTTGTCTGTGTGTCTGTGTGTCTGTGTGTCTGTCTGTCTGTCTGTCTGTCTGTCTGTCTGTCTGTCTGTCTG